TCTTTTTGCTTATGTGGTGCTGAGGAATCGAACCCAGGGCCTCATGCATGCAAGGCAAGCGCTCTACCACTGAGCCACCTTCCCAGCCCCAACACTGTGTCTTTTAATGTAGTTAAAACAAGAAGGCTTTGGGAACTAATCTTATTTCTCAGTCACACATGTTCTAACATGACTAGAATCACTAAACATTAATTCTTAAAATAGGACATGTTACAAAGAAAATAAGTGGTGTAGCTTTTATATGATAAAATATATTTATAGTTATTCAGATATACTTACTAATGGCCACTGAAAAGAATTAGAATGTTTTTCAAAATTATAGATTTCATTAATTAGAATCATTAAGTAAAAACGTTAGAGGGTTGAAACATAAGTGGATTATCTGTAAATAATAAAAGTCCATTTAATGTCAGAGCTCATCAATAATCTTGGTTACTGAAAGTGAGAGTTAATACCTTGCACTTGTCAACTTCCTCCTCAATTTTCTCAACAATAGCTGCATCCAGAATTTGTAAATCGCAAGAAGAACGAGACAAAGTACTGACAGGATGTCCTTTTAGCCAAGTAATAATTTCTTGAACTTTCTCAGCACTATAGCAAAAACAATAATAATTTTTAAAAATTTTAAATCAAAACTGTCTGAGTGCTTAAAATCCTGATACAAAATTTCTGAGAACTATGAATTATAATTCATAAAGGAAAAACAAGAAAAGGAACAACAAAATAAAACAAAGAAGATTACATGAGAAATTCTTGATGAATTAGCTCCATCTTCAATTGACCCCTCAGTTGAACTTACCCATTCTCTTCTTCTCCAGGCCAAATATCATCCTCATAGAACACGTCTTCTTGGCTATTTTTGGCTATATAACTAAATAGTTCTGGAGCTCTAGACAAATAAAAATACTGCTTTATATATATATAGCTAACTTACAAAAAATTCTTATAAATTTGAAACTTACGGGGATATTAATGCATTTTGACAATGTTACTATAGTATTATTGAGGGATGTGACTAATAAGGAATAGAGATCGTAAACCATACTATCCTTGTACCCTCAAAAACCTCCCACTAGTTGGGTGCCGTGGCTCACATCTGTAATCTTAGCTACTCAGGAGGCTGAGATATAAGGATCAGGGTTCAAAGCCAGCCCAGGCAGGAAAGTCTCTGAGACTTTATCTCCAATAAACAACTCAGAAAACCGGAAGTGGCACTGTGGCTTAAGTGGTAAAGCACTAGTCTTGAGCTTAAGAGCTGAGGGATAGCACCCAGACTCAGAGTTCAAGTCCTACGACCAATAAAATAAAATAAACAAACAAAAAATCTCCCACTAGATAAGGGGAGAATAGTTTCATTCATGTATTTATAAAAATCTTTTACCATGATACGCGATAATAAATGGACAAAAATAATACATACAAATTCATTTTCTAATTTTAACAACTAAGAGAAGAAAGAAAATAACTTCCAATCTAGGATTCTACATTCAAGCAAGCTACAATCAAGTACAGAAGAACAAAGCTAGTTCCACTGCAACTGAAGCAGGAAGACAGAGGCTTTGGGAAGAAGTCTCCAAGAAGAAACAGAATGAAGAGGTCCCCTGATAGGTTTGGCAGAATTGAGTTTTAAAGCTACAGGAGGGAGTTGAGATCTAGACTAGTCATATGAACATAGGTAATAAGCAAATAAATAAACGGTTAGGAATGTGTAAGAAAGGAAATGTAATCATAATACTCTACGAAGTCTAGGTATAAACACTCTACCATAATGAAGTAGCCTATAAACAAGCGATACAACTTTAGTGAGGAATGTGTATGTGCCTGTGGCAATTTTTATTTATTCTTTGTAATGCTAGTCATCTAGTAGGGTATCACACATGCTAGATAAGTGCTCTGCCACTAAGCTACCTCCTTAACCCAAGGAAAAAACAACAGCTTAAATGTGGCATGTTAAATAAATATGGAGATGAGTAAGAGAGGAAATCCAAACTTGCAGGTAATAAGTATGGATTTCTTCTTCCAATCTTGCTAAAAAATGTAAGGATGTGACCTTATTCCAAATGAGGCTGTTTACGGGGGGGTAATCAACTCCAAGTAGAGTTCATTAGGATGAACTCTAATCTAATTTGGTGGGTAGGCACCCTTCTCAACAGAAGGATGGATGTGAAACTGTGAATCAGAAGTGAACCTTGTTCCTGTAAGAAACTCTGAAATATTTCCCTCTAAAACTTAGCGAGCCAAGCCAACCCACTCCTAGCGACCTCTGTGAGGCCCTGGCCTCTCTAAGTGCTCACAGAATGCCTCCCCCCTTAAGCTCTTTGCAGAGCCCCTCCCCCATTGCTCTTAAGTTGTGGGCAGACCTCTGAGTGGAGACCATCCCTTACCTCTCTAAGTACTCCGCAAGAAGCTGCTCGGCTGCTGATGAATACATCCACTCACTCCCAACTTTCTTGGTATAGCCAGGCACCTCTTCATTTTTTTTGTTGAATTTGAGATTTAAGCCCACATTTGCTTTATGGTCTCCATGAGGGCTAAAGTGAAACCACACAGACACAGACACAGACACACAGACACACACACACGTTTTAAAATCTGGGGTAGGCTAGAAAAAGTTTTGCTTTCAAAAATTCTTAGAAAAGCTTGCTTTTGACTGTTCTACATTTTTGTTTATGGTTATTTCCAATTAGCAGTAAATAAGAAAATAGAGGAAAAGCTTTAAAACCCAAGTTTAAAAAGCATATAAATAAATTATGCAATTCTGAAAAACAAAGGGTATCAAAATGCAAGGAAATACATTATTGAGGCTCACACACACTCTGATACCTTTTTTCAAGGTTCAATTTTGTTAGCTGCTAAAAAAAGTCTTTCCAAGGATCTACAACATATGCCATTCAGATAAAAGGTTACCACCAGAGGAATTTATGCACAATTTTAAAAGAAAATTCACAGCAGTTATAAAGAGAAAAATACTTAAAGACTATGTGTTCAAACTTTTTTTTTCTTTTGTCACTTTAAGTAAATTTCTCTAACATAAACTTACTTTCTCCTAGATCCTCTTCCAATAAAAATACTTCCTGTAAACCTTGAAACAAGGTATCCACTCACTCCAAGGCGACTGGCCAACACATATCCTGGGTTGTACTTTATAGAATATTTCTTTAAATATAAAAAACAAAAAGGGTCAATTATGGAAACGTAAGTTTACATAAAAAAATTTGGAGATATTTAAGACAACACTAACCATTGGATTGTGGTAATGTAAGGGTTCTCATTCGGATGCTGTGAACTTAAACATGGTTTCCCAATATTCTCCAGGTTGAACATGTCCAGTTTTAACTGAATTAAGTAACCTACACAGAAAGGCCATTTGCCCCTTGTAACTAAAAATGGAGACTCTGAATTAGTATGCAAAGCTTTATACAGTATTGTATCATACCTGTAGGAACAGGGTATGATAATCAAAGCGCCTCTTATAACTTTGAAAACAATAATTCAAAACAAACACTATGGATTAATAATAGCATTTCAGTGAATGCATTTTCCCCTCTAAAGATTTTCATTCCCCCCCCCACCTTTGGTTTTTGTAGTGCTCGGATTGAATCTATACACTTACCTATGCTAGGGTAGATTTACATAAAATTTTTAAAATTTTATTATTAAGTAACTGTACAAAGAGTATATAATTCCATAAGTCAGGTTATAAAAACAAGAAATATTGGTCAATGACACCCTCTCCCATCATTCCCCCCCCTTTTTACCCCTTGTCACTATCCTCAAGTTACATAGTTGAATTTTTTTTTTTTTTTTGGTCGGTCATGGGGCCTGGGCGCTGTCTCTCAGCTCTTCAGCTCAAGGAGAGCACTCTACCGCTTGAACCACAGCACCACTTCTGGTTTTCTAGTGGTTTAATAGAGAGAAGAGTCTCACAGACTTTCCTGCCCGGGCTAGTTTTGAACCACGATCCTCAGATCTCAGCCTCCTGAATAGCTAGGATTACAAGCGTGAGGCACCTGCGCCCGGCTACATAGCTGAATTTTTACACAATGTACACTGAAAATAGTGACTTCCTCCTTCCATTCCTGTGCCCCTATTCATTGCCAATCCCCCCAAACAGGTGTCTATTTCCTGGTATTCAGTTTGATAAACAGTTCATTTCTCCTCCTCCTCATCTCTTAGTTTCTGTGTAAATGAATAGAGCCCTGTATATGTTATCATATATGTTTGTATTTTAGATCTAGCTTCCACATATGAGAGGAAGCATGTAACTTGTCTCACTGAACCTGGCTCACCTCACTTAACATGATTTTTTTCTAGGTCATCTATTTTCCTGCAAATGACATATATTATTCTAACAGATGAGTAAAACTGTATATATGTGCCACATTTTCTTGATTCACTCAGGCATCTGGGCTGTTTCTATAACTTAGCTATTGTGTATAGTGTGGCAATGAACATGGATGTGATTTATATAAATTTCTGAGAGCAAGGATTCTAGGATTTTCTTCACAGAAAACATTTGAAATAGGCTTGAAGGATGAGGCAAAAATATGCTAACGTCTTAGACGTTTATTGACTGCAAATGAAACAATTCAGGCTGTGGTACTCACATGCTGGTTCTGTATTAGAGCATCAAGATTGGGCTCACACGGGATGCTGAAGACCACTCGAACTCTACCTTCGGAAATCACATCACCTGAGTCCTGGACCTTGGAATAGAATAAGCAAAGTCACAGTACATTTTACCCTCTTTATAAGCATTTTGTTTTCTATTTATTTCAATGGTTTCATTTCTAAAATAGAGCACAACAATAAAATCAGGTAGTCAAAATTCTCTTGGATTTTTTTTTTTGTGTGTGTGTGAGTTGTAGGGCTTGAACTCCGGGCCTGGGTGCTGTTCCTCAGCTCTTCAGCTCAAGGCGAGCGCTCTACCACTTGAGCCAGAGCACCACTTCTGGTTTTCTAGTGGGTTATTGGAAATAAGAATCTCACAAACTTTCCTGCCCGGGCTGGCTTTGAACCGCAATCCTCAGATCTCAGCCTCCTAAGTTACTAGGATTATGGCTCTCTTGGAATTTTTTTTTTTGTTTTGTTTTGTTTTTTTTTTGGGTCCGGTCATGGGGCGTGAACTCTGGGCCTGGGCACTATCCCTCAGCTCTTCAGCTCAAGGCTAGCACTCTACCACCTGAGCCACAGCGCCACTTCCGGCTTTTTTTCTTTTTGCTTATGTGGTGCTGAGGAATAGAACCCAGGGCCTCAGGCATGCAAGGCAAGCGCTCTAACACTGAGCCACCTTCCCTGCCCCTCTCTTGGAATTTTTAAGTAGATCTAATAATATAAAATGTAAGTCATTCTTTTAAAAAACTAACATGGCTAATAATTTTCAAATTTCCAAAAGGTTATAAAAATAGTGCAAAGGAGACTGGAAACCATTTACCTAGATTTACCGACTGTTAACATTAGAAAATTGGCTTTGATATTTTTGTTCTGTGTGTATATTTTGTACCATCTTCATATACAATTGTGAACATCTTTTGGAGAAAAGTCCTGAAAAATGATACTGTGAACTTAGTAGTTCCCAACATTTTCTAAAGTTAAGACTGTCCATTTTGTCCAATACAGACCTGAGGGTAAGATTTTTAGGGACATTTCTGCCTTCCATAAAGTTTCCTCATAGGTGTGCTGATATTTAACTGAATTAAGATAACCTATACAGAAAGACCATTTAAAATGCTATTATTTTTCTGAACCATTGGAGGATATATAACATACACTATGTACCTTCTAAATATTTCAGTATTAATGGTAATTTAATTAGTATTAAGTTTCCTAAGAATACTTTATAATAAAAGTTTAGTATAGTCACTATGTATATAAATTTATACTGATAAAGTATTTTTATCTAAGCTACTATCCGTATTCCAATTTTGTCAGTTAGTCTAATGTCGTGCGTGAGACTCTTTTCCTCCTCTCCAGGCTAGCAACACAGATTATATTTAGTTGTCTCTTTTTTTGTTTTCTTGTTTTTTGAGACAGTGTCTCTCTCACTAGGTAGCCCAGGCTGGCCTTGAACTCATGATCCTCCTGCCTCAGACTCCAAAGTGCTGGGATTACAGGTATATGCTGCCAAACCAGGCAAAAAAAATCAGCAGTTTTTTTGTCCTCTGTGTTGGGCAATGAACCTAGGACCTTGTATGTACTAGACAAGTGCTCTACCGTGAGCATATCCCTAGCCCTATTTTTACTTTTGATATGTTGCTATAAACCAAAGCCTTCTCTTCCCTTTGATTTTAATCATCTCCATGGAATCATTAATTCCTATTTTCCCTCAGTATTTATTCAGTAATGATTCCAGTACTCAGACCATCTCAGAGTTGACCAGTCAGTGGGAGACCTCAACCTCTTCCTGTGTTATCTGACATTCTCCCTCATACTTCTGAGCACTGATTTCTAGGATAACACCAATAGCCAAGCTCTCCTTGTCCCAGGCCTATGAGCAGCCAACTGAGATAACTTTTAGTGAGGTATGGTATTAGCAGTCAAAGGCTGGGCGTTACAGATGTTCACTGCTACTGGGGGTGGTGGTGTCTTTGCTTCTTTTATTTTTTTCAGTAAACGGATCTGGAAAAATATGCACGTACAGCTATACACACATACACACTACACATATGTATGTAAATCTACAAACGTATTTTAGAAATAACAAATTCACACCAATACCTCCAAGTCTGTTCCCACAGAAATTTTCTTTTTTCTCCCATTCCATAGTTGCACACACCTTTTATTTGATAGAACTGGAATTCTTCAAAGCATCTACAAATTTTAAATTCATTTGACTCTAAGATATCTGAAATAGTTTTAAAACTGCTTTATCCTTAACACCATAATAAACAAATTTATTAGAATAGAGATCAGGATTTGAATTCTGTTGCCTATCTCCTGACCTAACCTGCTCACAAGTGATTACACAGTGTTCAGATAAATACAAATAAATATTGTGTCTATAAGTCATTACATGAGTGGATTTTCTGATGTTTCCCTTTTGAGGTTCTATTTCATTTTCACCTAAATCAAGACAGGCTAAATAAGTTTATTAACATGGAAACAGAAAGGAATTTAATTAGTAACAGAGCCAAAACTCACTTCCCCAGTGCAGCCATAGTAGGGAGTTCCTAGCATAAAGACTGTACTTCTCATAGGAAACAAATCATCCAACGTTTTGATACTAGAGAAACGAGAGTCGAAAGCTCGAATATCCTATATAAAACAAAACATAAGCATTAATCCCCATGGCCACAGTTTATAGATTGTCTATCATGTCTATGCCACCTGAACTGATCAAACCTCAACAATTTGAATATTATAGGAACAGAATAAAAGACTATCTACTTCTTATATGCCAGGAACTCTTCAACATGCTTCGCTCATTTATTTTACTGTATTCTCAAGATATCCCATATAGCAGAGACTCTTTTATTACTAACTGCACTGTTTAGAGGAAGAAAGGATAGCGCAGAAAGGGGATATGTTTCATCCATGGCCACACAGAAAAGCAACCAACCCAGAAAAATCTATGCTTTATACTAGACTACCCTCTCAATAAAGTTATAGCATTCATGGGAAGAAGTAAATTCCAAGGGCACCCCATCCTGTGGATGTCTGAAACTACAGATAAACCCTAGAGATACTTTGTTTTTTTTTTTCCCCCAATAAGTACATGCATACCATGGAGTTTAATTTGCACATCAGGCATAGTGACAGATTACCAATAACTAATAAAAGACAAACATTTTTAACAGTATGAATTATGTGACTATGATCTTCCTCTGTCACTCAGATACACCTTGTTTTGTTCTGGTATGCTGAATGATAGGCACGCACTGTAAACCATGCCATAACTTCAGCAGTATGAAGTGCAATACTGACATTTTAGCAGCATCGTCATGCTATTATATATATATTTTGTGTGTGTGCACCAGTATTGGGGCTTGAGCACTGTCCCTGAGCTTCTTTTTGCTCAAGTGGTACAGCACTAGCCTTGCTGTGCTCTACCACTTGAGCCACAGGGGCATATCCAGCTTTTTCTATTTATATGGTACTGAGGAATGGAACCCAGGGCTTCATGCATGCAAGGCAAGCACTCTACCACTGAGCCGCCTTCCCAGCCCCTCTAGCTTTTTCTATTTATATGGTACTGAGAAATGGAACCCAGGGCTTCATGCATGCTAGGCCAGCACTCTACCAATAAGCTACATTCCCAGCCCTCCAGGTTTTTTATACTGGTTGTTTTGAGATACGGTCTTATATTTTGCCTAGACTGGTGTGTGGACAATGATCCTGCTACTTTTCTTTCTTTTTTCTTGGTTGCTCATGGGGCATGGGCCTGGGCTCTTTTTGCTGAAGGCGAGCACTCTACCACTTTGAGCCACAGCGCCACTTCCGGTTTTCTGGTGGTTCATTGGAGATAAGTCTCATGGACTTTCCTGGCTTTTAACAGCATTTCTCAGATTTCAGTCTCCTGAGTTGCTAGGATTACAGGTGTGAGCTACCAATACCCAGTGATCCTCCTATTTCACGCTTACTTCTATATTTGGGGTGACAAGTACATACCATCAAATCTAGCTTCTTAAGTTTTGTGAATTGATTTTCTCTGGGCTTACTTCAAACCATGACCTCCAAATTCAGCTTCCAAGTAGCTAGGATTACAAGATTGAGCAACCAAGCCCTTCTAGAAAATTTTGTTGTAGAAATTAGGTCCTTAAAGCTCAACTGTACACATAGTATTGCCTGACCCACCACCAAACATGCCTCACAGTGATTAGTGTATCTCACAAATTAAGTAACTGCTAACACACTGCTGCAATGTGTTCTACTCGTAAATAGAAATGCAACAGTCTCTCATACAATGCATACTCACAGAGCCAAGACTCACCTTAACAAGAGTTTGGTAAACAAAAGGAAGAACTTGCTTTGACCACTGCTTTTCCAGACGAACTTCACCATTTTGATTTACTTGATATTTACGACCTGTAAGTAACTGAGCATACACAAGGGCAGATGTTTCATTTATTATTATTCCTTTTCTTCTTAGGTATCTAAGAGAAATAATGAAGTGAAAAAATTTATGTATGAGTGCATATATAGGCTAGAATACTAGTCATTATCCAAATTGCCAACACCTAATTAAACACTTGAGTAAATTTTAAATAAATATACAAGCAGTTCTGTATCTCTAATTAAGACTTTTAGGGCTGGGAAGGTGGCTCAATGGTAGAGCACTTGCCTTGCATGCCTGAGGCCCTGGGTTCGATTACTCAGCACCACATAAGCAGGAAAAAAAATGCCAGAAGTGGCGCTGTGGCTCAAGTGGTAGAGTGCTAGCCTTGAGCTGAAGAGCTGAGGGACAGCGCCCAGGGCCAGAGTTCAGTCCCCACAACCGGACCACCCCCCACCCCAAAAAAAGGCTTTTATACTATTTATTTTAGTCTGCAGATACTTCTACTGTCTATGTGGTTAAATGAAAAATCACAGCTATAAAAACTCCCATGGGGCTGGAGGTGTTGCTCAAGTAGTAGAGCATTTGCTCAAGAAGTTTCAAGTTCAAATCCCAGTACCATCATCAACATTCCAACAAAACTCCTATGTCTCCCATCCCCCAGAACGGCTGTAATCATGACAGGGAAAACAAGTATTGGTGGCCATGTGGAGAAATGGTAACAACTGTGTACTTATGAAGAACATACAGAATGGTAGACTGTTGTGGGAAAAGCTCTGGCAGTTCCCCAAACAAAATGACCCTCAGCAATTCCCTCAGCAAAATGACCCAGCAATTCTATGCCTAACTATATACTCCTTAAACAAATACTGACAAATCAATGTTCATCACAGCACTATTCCTAATAATCAAAAAGTAGAACCCACTTAAATGTAACAAAATGTGGTGCATCTATACAGTGGAATGTAAGTCTAGCCTTAAGAAGGAATAGAGTCTGATGCATGTTATATTGTGCATTAACTTCAGAAACATGCTGAGTGAGATAAACGAGACAAAGAAGGTAAGACTCATGCAATCATATTTATATGAAGCATCCAGAATAGGTCCTTCCACAGACAGAAAATAGACTACATCCATTCAACTTGGCCTTTTCAGTCTAAACAGGTGTCTGCCAACCATAGCCACTGGTCAAATCCAGGCTGACTCTTGTTCTTTTAAACAAGTTTTCTTGGAACATACTCATTACTTACTGTCCATGTTTTTATGTTACCATGGTAGAACTGAGTACTAGTATCAGACACTGGAAAGTATATAGAGCCTAACAATTTATAATCTGGTCTTTATAGGATTGTGCTGATGAGGCATTTCAATAACAACCTGAACAAGGCTAATACTGCTCTTCTTCAAGTGTCACATTTATTGTTTTTGCTAGTCCTGGGGCTTGAACACAGGGTCTGGACACTGTCCCTGAGCTTCTTTTACTCAAGGCTAGCACTCTACCATTTGAGCCACAGTGCCACTTCAGGCTTTTTCTGTGTACGTGGTGCTGAGGAATCAAACCCAAGGCTTCATGCATGCTAGGTAAGCACTCTTACCACTAAGCCACCTTCCCAGCCCTGCAAGTTATTATTTTAAACTAGAACACAATACCTTAGAACCATGATGAAGATGCAATCAGTATTCAGAGTTAACTACTGTGTCCAGTGGAAATTAAGTTAGAGAATGAGGACATTAATGAATGCTAGTGCTGGGATATTTATTTTTGTATTCTTGTTTTTTGCTATGTAGTGCAGAGATTACAGTATGTATTGCTACACCAAGCTCAGTTCTTTATATGACACTCACTGGTCTGAAATGCCTTGTACTTCTTTAGTCCAGTTAGACTGTTCTTTATCTCCAAGATGAACAACTTTAGATGGTGGAGGAGTTCTTCCCAAATAAACTTTCTGTGTTCCTGGAGGTTCTTCCAAGTAAAACCTTAATTAAAATATCAATTATATAATCCTATTTTTTGCTTTAATTAGAGTTCTTCAAAGTTAAAAAAATTATCAGAAACAAATATATTCGCTAAACATTAAATTTGGATGTAGAATTTCCAAGCTATTAAGCAAATAAAAAAATGAAAGAATATATGCATCTAAACTATCCTGAGGAGCATACATTAAACTGACAATAGTGGTTTAACCTCAAGTACTGTGATTACAGAACTTTCATTTTATATAAAGTACAAATATTCAAAGAGTTCAAATATTCTTTCTCCCTGCTCCTCCCTCCCACCTCCCTCAGGTCATGGTGCTTGAACTTGGGGCCTGGCTACTGTCTCTGGGCTCTTTTGCTTAAGGCCAGCACTCTACTACTTTGAGCCACAGCACCACTTCTAGTTTTCTGGTGGTTAACTAGAAATCAGAGTCTAATGAGCATTCTTGCCTGGGCTGGCTTCTGAGATCCTTAGATCTCAGCCTCTTGAATAGCTAAGATTACAGTCAAGAGCCATCAGAGCCCAGCTACAAATATTCTTACAACAATTTCATTAGTTAAAAAAAAAAATAATCAAGCTGGATGCCGGAGGCTCATGCCTATAATCCTAGCTACTCAGGACACTAAGATCTGAGATCGTGGTTCAAAGCCAGCCTGGGCAGATAAGTGCACAGACTCTTGTCTCCAATGAACCACCAGAAAACTGGAAGTGGTACTGTGGCTCAAGTGGTAGAGCGCTTGCCCTGAGTTTAAAGAGCTCAGGGACAGCAGCCAGGCCCCGAGTTCAAGCCACACAACAGACCAAAAAACAAAACAAAACAAAAAAAAGATTCAGTAAGTCATCAAATAGCAAAGCAAATTTAGAGAAGTTAGAAATCGAAAGTCTTACTTAGTTTCACCATCTGATACAGCCACAACTCTAGCTTCTTCGAGGTGAGGCCAATTAACAAAGACAGACTTTCCAAGTACTGACGAAGCTACATTTTCTATACTCTTAAAAGTAAAAGCAGAGAAGTCATTCATGTTTTAAGTCCAGGCAAAATTTCCCAATCTGTACTTAAGTTCCTAAATTTATAAACTGGATGAGTTGAATTAATTATATTACAAAACTCAACTTACATGCAACATCTGAGACAGTCCTAGTTAAGAGTGACATTATCTTGCTTATTTTTCTTCAGATAAGTAAGGAAAGTGATAAGATCAGAGGAAATGTATAGAAAAGGCTTTTGTTTCATATAATTAGAACCTAAGAGAAAGGATGTATTTCTTTTTTTTTTTTTTTGGGTCCGGTTCTGGAGCCTGAACTCTGGGCCTGGGTGCGGACTCTCAGCTCTTCAACTCAAGGCTAGCGCTCTACCACTTGAGCCACAGCACCACTTCCGGCTTTTTTCTTTTTCTTATGTGGTGCTGAGGAATTGAACCCAGGGCCTCAGGCATGCAAGGCAAGCACTCTACCACTGAGCCACCTTCCCAGCCCCGAGAAAGGATGTATTTCACTCTGTGGCAAGTATAAAAAAAAAACATTTATCTAATGAGGGGACACAGGTCCAAGTTTGTGCTTGCTTTGTAGCCATGGAATGTGGAAAATAAAATCACTCAGTTCCTCAAAGACTGTTTCTTTTACAAGTAAATGTCTCCCTTGTAATGTTCAGGATAAAAAAATTACATACACGAAAGCTTTGCAAACTGTCAACTGCTGGTTAAGAAAAGAGTATCTTCAATAAAAAATTCAAATTTTAAAAAGAAGCTATTTCTCAATTCAATTTGTACATATAGTTAGGAAATAACCTGGAGGTAGAAAATCAAGTATACATTTTCATTCACCTTTTTCTTTTACTTCATTATTATTATTTTTTTTTGGGGGGGGGTCCGGTTGTGGGGCCTGAACTCTGGGCCTGGGCGCTGTCCCTCAGCTCTTCAGCTCAAGGCTAGCATTCTACCACTTGAGCCACAGCGCCACTTCGGCTTTTTTCTTTTTGTTTATGTGGTGCTGAGGAATCGAACCCAGGGCCTCATGCATGCAAGGCAAGCACTCTACCACTGAGCCACCTTCCCAGCCACTTTTACTTCATTATTAACAAACATTTCTTCAGTAGAGATAACTATTCTTAGGTTTTTCTGAAGTAATTTTTAAATACTGGTATTTATACATTTCTATTTTTATATTGATATTCAGATTTTTTTCTCAGTTATTCTCAGGATGGTACATACTAGTATCTTACTGTTTTTTGTGGTTGTTTTTGGGTCCGGTCGTGGGGCCTGAACTCTGGGCCGGGGTGCTGTCCCTCAGCTCTTCAGCTCAAGGCTAGCACTCTACCATTTGAGCCACAATGCCACTTTCGGCTTTTTTTTTTTTTTGCTTATGTGGTGCTGAGGAATTGAACCCAGGGTCTCATGCATGCAAGGCAAGTGCTCTACCACTGAGCCACCTTCCCAGCCCTAGTATCTTATTCTTTTTTTTTTTTTTTTTGTCTGAGACTGGGACTTGAACTCAGTACCTGACACTTTCTCACACACTGGCTGGTGCTTTACCATCTGAGCCATGCCTTTAATTCCTAAAACTAGTGCTAGGTACATAGAAGTTCAATGATTATATAAACAAATGACTCAGAGTACAAGGTTTGTACCTCTGTGGAACACAATGCTAGCAGGGAGGTCCCAATTAAATACCCAGCCCCAGCCCCAGCTTAAGAGTTCACTACTATTTATCATCATTCCTCCTAAACCAGCAACTCTCCTATTTTAACTTTTCTGGCCCAGCAAACTCTGTTTTTTTTTTTTTTTTTTCCCAGCCGTGGGGCCTGAACTCAGCCTGGGCTCTTCAGCTCAAGGCTAGTGCTCTACCACTTGAACCACAGCACCACTTCTGGCTTTTTCTGCATATGTGGTGCTGAGGAATTGAACCCAGGGCCTCCTGCATGCAAGGCAAGCACTCTGCCACTAAGCCACATTCCCAGCCCTGCAATTGTTTTTAAGTTGGCTTAGATAACACAGAGCAACATTTCCTAGTTTCTTCTTTTTAATCTCTACTTTGGAATCAGTAATAAAACTTGTCAATTTTATTTCATCTTTCTTTTAAATCTGTGGCCACTCACATAGTTTGTACCCTTATCACCTAAGGGTGCAAGCTCTGAACCTGCATTTCTCTTTTGTGTAGTTTTCTCTGTAATTCTTCCACCAAACTAATCTTCTTGAAAAATACTGATTTCAATAACAGTCATAGCCTGGTACTCAAAGTCCTCCATAATCAGAGCTCAATTTGTTTTTTTCAGTCTTATTTTCCAATACAAGTCCCCTGCTTCAATCAGGGCTACCTTCTCCAATACATCACAGTTATTCTAAAATATGAAAAAAAATATTTCAGACACATACAAGGTTAACCAGAATAGACCACATCCTGCATCTTTTTTTTTTGTCAGTCATGGGGCTTAAACTCTGGGCCTGGGTGCTGTCCCTCAGCATTTCAGCTCAAGGCTGGCACTCTACCACTGAAGCCACAGCAACACTGCTGATTATTTGGCAGTTTATTGGAGGTAAGAATCTCACAGACTTTCCTGCCTGGGCTAGCTTTGAACTGCGATCCTCAGATGTCAGCGTTCTGGGTAGCTAGAATTACAGGTGTGAGCCAGTGGTGACTGGCTCCTGTATCTTTTTGACTCAAGTTTTCAATACCACCATAAGCCCAGCTCTTGGCTTCAAGTCTCTATTTAAGCTTTGCCCTGAAAGGTTCATCTCTTTTTCAAAAAGTTGTGCTTATTGTGCTTCAATTACAAAGATTCTTAAATTGTTATCTAATTTGTGTAAATTTTTCTCCGCTCTGAATCCTTAAGCTGTGAAGCAGTTATACATTCATACATTTGTTAAACACATTTGTAGACACAAACAATTTTACACATACTAAACACAATAAATGAAGAACAAAGTACTTACAGGTTCATCTGATTCTGCATTCACTAAGATTTCCAACATCATGTTTTCTCCGCGACTGCTTTGCTGGAATACCTGAACACCACTTTTCTTCAAGAAAAACTTCAGAAAGAATTGAAAGAATTTAAATTATTTCTCCATAATCACTTCACAGTTAATAAAGTGAAAAAATTCTGATTTAAATAGCCACTGACTTTATGTTTGATGTGTTTCAGAGTAGGGAATCCACAGAAATATAACGCCTTCTGGTCAACATTGGTTAATTTGCTCTTGTTTATGTCTATATGCCAAGCATCTAAAGATATGATTTCATACCTAGAAAATAAAATGTTTAATTCAATATTTCAGACTATTTTTTGGTCTGGTGTAGGGCTTGAACTTAGGGCTGGCTGCTTCCCTGAGCTTTATCACTCAAGACTAGCACTCTGTCACTCTGAGCCACAGTGCCACTTCTGGAGGTGAGAGTCTCACGGACTTTCCTGCCAAGGCTGGCTTTGAACTGTGATACTGAGATCTCAGCTTCCCAAGTAGCTAGGATTACAGGTGTAATCCACCAGCACCTAGCCAAAACTTCAGTCTTTTAGCAATTAGTCTTTCAATTTTCCCTAAAAATTATCCCTGTTTTTTTTTGTTTCTTTTTTTGGTGCTATCCTGTGACTTGAACTCAGGGCCTGAGCACTGTCCTTGAGTTTTTGTGTTCAAGATTGGCAAGGCCAGCACTTTACCACTTAAGCTACAGATTTAGATCAAAAATTCAAAATGAGCCTGGACTACATAGAGAGTTCTAGGCCAGCCAGAGAAGCATTTGTCTTTTTTTTTTGGTCAGTTGTGACAGCCTGAGCACTGTCCCTGAGCTCTTCAGCTCAAGGCTAGCTACTCTACCACCACTTAAGCCACTTCTGGCTTTTTTCTGCTTATGTGGTGCTGAGGAATTGAACCCAGGGCCTCATGCATGCAAGGCAAGCACTCTACCACTGAGCCACCTTCCCAGCCCCGAAGCATTTGTCTTAAACAAGCAAAATCCCTAAACAGCCAGGTACTTGTGGCTCACGTCTGTAATCCTAGCTACTCAGGAGGCTGAGATTTGAGAATCCCAGTTTGAAGCCAGCTTTGGCAGGAAAGTCCGTGAGGCTTTTATCTATAATAACCTATTCAGAAAAAGCCAGAGATAGTGCTGTGGTTCAAGTGGTAGAATGCTAGCCTTGAGCACAAAGAGGCTCAGGGACAAGCCCCAGGATTGGAGAGGGAGGGGAAGAGAAAGAAAAGAATGAGCAATCCACCTTTGTTATCCCTCCAGAAACAATCATGCCTGTGCATTAATAGGACTTTTTCACTATTAATTTAAAATAAAGATAGATATAACTAAAAGAAAATTGACCTTATAGTGGCTCACACTTGTTAACCCTAGCTACTTAAGAGGTAGGGATTGGGAGGGCTGTGCTTTGATGCCAGCCCGGTAGAAGAAAAGCAAGTGAAACTCAATCTCAACAAAAATAATGTTGGGCACAGTGGTGAGAGCCAGTTACACTAGCTGTACAGCAAACACAAATTGGGTCGTGATTTAGGCTTTAGGAAAAAATATGAGATCCTATCACAAAATTAACCCACGGAAAAAAGGGATGAATGAGTGGCGCTAAGAGGTAGCGTTCCTGCCTAAATTCAAACTGCAAAAAATAAAAAATAAAAGAAGGCCGGGGTGGGGCGCCGGTGGCTCACGCCTGTAATCG